TAGGCAGAGCAAACTTTTGTGACACAACTTAGCATGTGGCTCACAATCCCATTCGAACATATGGAACTTGTTGCGTTCGATCTGGCCACAACCAGGCGGGCGCCGTACTGGGCTATATGTCTTTAACTGGTGTGTAGCTGGAAATCATGATACGTGGATGGGAACCTAGTATCACGTAGATGGGACCTATTATCACGTATAAGAGAGGTAGTATGAGTACTAAGACTTCATTTACATCTAGGTCTTAGTTATGTTCGTCCCTTTTATGGAAGAATTAGGATGGCCCCTGTTTGGGGCATGGTATGGCAAACGCTGCTCCGTGGTAATGAAAGGAAAAAAAAACCGGGGCAACTCAAACAGCTAGATGGAAAAATCTTTTGGGCCATGTGCGACTTAGCCACCTGTCACGGTTTTAAACTGGTCCATATTGAACACAGCAAGTAGACCGATGCAGGAGTGGTGATTTCTGGGGGGAAATGGAAATGAAGAGAAAGAGGGAGAGAGAAGCCCTGGAAAACAATCAAGGAGTTTATCCATGTGAAAATTTAGCCTAAATAATTACGTCTCGAAAGGCAGACAAATACTCGCTAGGCTGTAAGTTGTCGATGTGAGGAAAGATAGAATGCATCATCCTGAGCCCAAGGAGGGACATCCTTAAGGTGGGATGCATATGGGCCCCGCACGATTTAAATGATCCAGAAGCATTGATGATGTCGCCGGCTCAGCCAGGGGCTTGAGTGATAGCAATACATAAGTTCCTTTTCCGACTATGCGAGGGTGGGAAAGTGGTATGGATTTGCCTCGGTGTCGAAGCCAAAACATGTGACGGCAGATATAGCACTCGCAAAAGGACCTCTTTGTCAGAATGGCAATCACAAAGAGCTCAAAGTAGCAATTAGTAATTGAATCTGAGTGCTATGAATTGACACTGTAGTAGACGACATGCTTTACGATCGATTGAAGAAACGATCGCCCGTCAGCAGCTCCTTTGCCGCGGCGTAGTATGCCACATATTACAGGCTTTCAGCCTCACAGACGGTCTGAATTCAATTCAACCCCAGGAGGCCTTTTGCCTTCGTCTCTCTCCACCTGCGGCCCACTGCGCTTGCGGCGATTGGGAAGCGTACCGCTCCAGATTCGGTAGTTGGATGCTGAGACTGTGCAAATGAGATGGACGGCCCCTGCAATCTCCCCTTCTTTCCCGATGAATCACACCGTACCCCGTGGGATCTTGGTGCGGCTCGCCTTATGGTTGGTCTTGGCTATGCCGGATGACATTGGCCAAGGTCTTGGCTCCCTTGTTTCAGCATCAAAGAGCTGCCGAGTATGGACAACCAGAGTCCTTTTTAGACATCACGTCGAAAGATGGTGGCTTCTACTCCATACATGGCATTTAAAAAGTTCTCTAGCTGAAGTGGATAAGATCATCATCAGAAGAGGCGCCTGATCGTCATCGTCCTGGTCGGCAGCAGCCGGCGAACATGGCAAAGCTAGAATTCGCTACGGTGATCTCCCTTCCTGGAGCAGATCATTGATAGACATTGGCTATCTGGAATAGAGAGAAAGCAAAAGCTTTCGTGGTGATGGCTTCAATCTGATTTCCGTTGAATGTTACCGTCACTTCCCGCACAGGAGGCCGTCGTAAATTCTCCTTTCCGCTATCCGAGGGTCGGGCATTTTGGGTAGCATCGCATTTACGTCACATCCTGAACCCGATCATTTCGCTCATCGTGAGTGGCATCAAACCCAAGCGCAGGACGTGCATCATGCATGGCTGGGTAGGGTATATGTTGCTGTCTACTGAAAGTGGCAAGTAGTAAGGGAAATGAGCCGGGGGCATAGAGGAGAAGATTTAGCAAGATAGGAGACACATTAATGACAACCGACCATCTCAGTGCCGTAGTCCGTCCCGCAATGGATGGCTACGTGCTGGAGAATCTAGCATCTCGGACAAGAGATAAGACCGGACCTGCTGCTTTTGACCCGTACTTTTGACTTGACTTAGGGCCGGGAGCTTCAGCTAGTGAGGCACGATCAAGTGGAAAGGGACCTTTGTCGTGGTCTGGTGGAGTCTGTCTCAGATTCATGCTTCCATAACACGCTCTGTCATTCTGACTCCTGAGCGATCAATCTCACTGGTCCCCCACCCTTGTTTGCCAGGAACAGCCGAGTTGCCAATGAGTTGCCGAAATGCCGGGAAGTGTTGTAATCTACCGTTTCAATTGCGAATGAGTGCTCTAAAACGAGCTGAGAGATGTGGCGCCACTGCTCCGTCCCAGCCAGCACTTCAGCAGAGTGTCAATGCGATGAGTGAATTAATATTATCTAATGGACGATGAGCTAACAAGCGCTTTCCGATTTCCCTGGCCCCTGGTCGGCTTTGGACAAATCAAGCAATGGAGTTGTCAATCAACACCAACTTCCAAAAGTTCTCCCCCAGTTGTCACTGCATGATAAGTTCTGGGTAAGGCGAACCTGGATATTGTAGCACACCAAAAGGCCAAGCTGCATCTTAGGAGCGCTTTCAACAAGAGCGACCCGTATCGGTCAGAAATAGGATTTCCATGCTTCTTCCAGCGGACATGCCAAGAAAAAACTGCCGATCTCGACAGGGGACTTGCCGAACGAGCTGCCAAATGGGAACAACGCGGCGATGGCTCTGGAGGTTCACTGTGAAGTTCAAGCAGATACTCACGCGATCCTTGCCATGCTGACTGCTGGCGCTTGGCTGCTTGAGGTAGGTTCAACGCGGGATCGGCAGTCACGCAGCTAAGCTTTGTGACTAGGCTGCCTGTTCAGGGAGCTGTCATGGCTGAGTAGGCGCGCGATCGACAGAGCTTCAATTTGAAGAGGGGAAGATAGAGGGGCGGGGTGAGCCACCATATCACACCGTTGGATGCAGGGTTGTGGCGATGGCTTCATGGGTGTTCGTCTTGTCTGATTGGCGTACCTCACTTGATGTTTAGCCTCAGTGCTACCTCAGCTCCGGAGGTTTATGCATGACATGTAGTGTGAGGTAGAGGGTCCAGTAAGTGACGGTCTGAGCAACACCGGGCGGAGTGAGCGGCGAGGGTTTCGAGTTGGATGGTGACCAGGGAACCGCCACCACCAACAAGACCCCTGGTCTGTGCTGGGAGAGGATGGCAACTGCCAACGCTGATAATAAGATAGATATCTGAGAGCTCGCGAGAGCTACATCTGAAGATAAATAGACGGTGCCCATCCGCTGTTTTTCGAATCTTTCTTCTGATCCTCATCAGCATCCTCTGCATCATCCTCTCCTCCTCTTTCCGAACCAATACCCAACAGACAACCCCAAATACATCATCAAGATGCGTTCTTCCACTCTCCTCGCTCTCCTCCCCCTGGCCATGGCCACTCCCTCCAGCATCAAGGCCAAGCGTGATTCTCCCGCTCCTCTCATCGTCCCCCGTGGTACTAGCCTGATCGATGGCAAGTACATCGTCAAGTTCAAGAAGGACGTTGTCACTGCTTCCATCAACAGCGCCATCTCCTCTATCAAGGCTGATGCCGACTACACCTATGCCGACCGCTTCAACGGTTTCGCCGCCAGCCTCACCGAGGAGGAGCTGACAACCCTTCGTGACGACCCTACTGTTGAGTACGTCGAGCAGGATGCGATCATCACCATCTCGGCCACCCAGTCCAACGCTCCTTGGGGTCTTGCCCGTATCTCTTCTCAATCTGCCGGTGGCACGACCTACACCTACGATGACACTGCCGGTGAGGGTACTTGCGCCTACATCGTTGACACCGGTATCGACACTACCCACACTGTAAGCGAACTCACTCTCCTGTAGCCACAACGATTCGTGATATGCTAACAGTGGGAAACAGGACTTCGGTGGCCGAGCCTCTTGGGGAGCCAACTTTGTCGACAGCAGCAACACTGATGGCCATGGTCACGGCAGCCACGTCGCCGGTACCGTTGGCGGTACTACCTACGGTGTTGCGAAGAAGACCAGTCTCTTTGCCGTCAAGGTTCTTGACAGCAACGGCTCCGGAACCAAGTATGTTCACACCTTAGACCTCTAGTTATTTGATCAAAATCTAACATGATAATAGCTCTGGTGTGATCGCCGGTATGGAATTCGTGGCTTCAGACGCCGCCAAGCAGAACTGCCCCAAGGGTGTTGTTGCCAACATGTCTCTCGGTGGCTCTACCTCCACCGCCATCAACGATGCCGCTGACGGGATCGTCAACGCCGGTGTCTTCCTTGCCGTTGCCGCCGGTAACGAGGCTGCCGACGCTTCAACTTCCTCCCCCGCCTCTGCCAAGAGCGCTTGCACCGTCGGTGCTACGGGATCGGATGACACCTTTGCCTACTTCTCCAACTTCGGCTCCCTCGTTGATGTTCTCGCCCCCGGTGTGGACATTCTCTCCGTCAAGGCTGGCGGTGGCTCCACCACCATGTCTGGTACTTCCATGGCCTCTCCTCACGTCGCCGGCATTGGTGCCTACTTCCTCGGCACCGGCAAGAGCGCCTCTGGCCTCTGCGAGAGCATTGCCTCCTCTGCCGTCTCTGGTGCCATCTCTGATGTCCCCAGCGGCACTGTCAACAAGCTCATCAACAACGGCGAGTAAATGGTTGATTGGATTTGGAAAGGAGAGTCCGGAGATGCCTGATCTAATGATTTTATAATGAAGTATATAGCCATATGTAAATACTCAAACGAAGAATACAAGAATATTCTATATATAAGTTGCATGCTATTTTGAATATCGTGAAACAGCTTGTCTGGAATTCATCTAGCACAATATCAAAGCAATTAACGTAGTAATAAACACAATATCAAGCTAAATATTATATAATAATTTATCATTTTCATATTATTGTGTTTAGTATCACCGGCAGGAAACCGAGGTCCCTGCCTTTCGTGAAAAGAGCTTTATTACTGTAGTCTGCCATGTTCTAATTCAGCTAAGTTCGCTGCCCTCCCTCCGCTGCATGTGTTACCAGTTCTTCGCTTTCAGGCTGCTAGCCTTGGTTTTCTTGGGCTCCTTCCCTGCGGGCTAGAGTAAATGTCACAGCGGAGGGTCCCTCCTCCCCTCCCTCCTCCTCTCCCTCCTCCTCTCCCCCCTCGTCACCTAGCACTCCCAGTTCCGGAAAGGGGCTTTCATACTCCCACGATACAGTGTCAGTATCAGCATCGTACAGAATACTGCTTTGAGGGGGCACTCGCGGGTCCAGAGACTCAATGGCGTCGGCAGCTCCAGACAGCCCGCCGAGCCGAATAAGCACGTATTGCAGATCGATTGCCAGCTTCATCTTCGGGACATCCTCAGTTTTGACTCCATCTACATTAATGATATATCCTGATTTGATGGGAAGCAAGGAATCATGATCAACGAGGGTCGGGTACTCTCCAGTAGGCTGCTGGTACTGTGGTTGCACTGTTGATGTGAGGGATGAGCTGTTATTGCAATCACTGATGATCTCAGACATCCTTTCAGGTGTCATTATGTCAGTTCTGACCGGACGAAAGGCGTTACCCTTGTGGGCGTCTTCCGGCTTGGGCTTGTCGAGCCCTTCGTCACCCAAGGCAGTGGCAATGCTTCTAGGCATCCATCGAAATTCTAGTTGGACAGTCCGTGTCTCCTCATTGAGACCGGGATTCAAGACCCCCACCCACTTAAAAGCGAAGAAACAATTGTTCCAATAGCGACGAACTTGGGTAGATAGGGTCAACATGTTGTATTTTTTGTCCGAAGACGCGAGAACAGGTTCGCCATCCTCGTCGTTGGGGAAAAGCAGCTCAAAGAGGAGGTCCTTAGCGTCTTGCGGAGGTAGGATGTGTCGAAGCATTTTCCCGTAGATCAATCGGCAACCGGGTTCCGTCGCGGGGTTGCTGTTCAAGCCGAAAGGGATGATGTGGCAGACATCAGGTTCGATCGCATTGGTGACCAGACATCGTTTTCCGTCGCGTTCTAGGGCCTTTGAAATCAATGTTAGAAATATTCAACGCTTTTAGCCAAGGAAATCTTAGGATAGTTTCGTACATCTTTACTTTCAGTCTTGTTTCGACTGGCTTCCTTCGCTCCAGGCGGAGGAGGGTTTGGAAATATCACATCGGGAGGGATGGCGGTACTTCTCTGGAGAACTAACAAAAACAGAGTTAACTTGGAAGTTTGATGCAGCAAAACCGGCGCAGAAGACATACATCTCGCAAGCAATGGTTCAAGAAGTGCCAGATTATCCCTTGAATCATGATAATCGATTCGGGTGAATGTCCTCCCAAACAGGAGGATTCCGATCTGGTGGAGGTGGGTGAACACGAAGCTGTCTCCAAATTTCTTCTGTAAATTCTTTTTTGTCTGGTATACTAGTCGGATGCGGTTGAGTTGGTCAGGGATAGGATCGCGAACTTCGTCTGTATTCAGATTCATGGACATCTTGTGCTGCAAGAAGCGGAGGAGCGCCGCGTGATCATCAGGATGAAGGTTCTCTCGCGTGATCAAGGCGTTGAAAGCACTCTGGGCCTCTTGAATCTGCTCATCTCGTAAAGCCGACATCTTGAACGATAGATGAAGAGAACGATGAAAAAAATGAGAAACGAAAGACGTGAGGGTGGGGTCCAAGGATGAAGAGAGATGTGATGGGCAGCTTGAAGCTTTACAATTTGGTGTGCGGGCTCTAAGAATTTAAGAAGGCCCGTCAGGGTTTAACGCACAAGTTGCCTGGACGCGTTTCGCCTCTTTCTACCCGTGACATGAAGAGCGGTACATAAAAGGTCAGTTGTGCAACTTTTCACTTGGGGGACAGGTACATCTAAAGGCGTGCTGTTGACACGACGCGTGACGCGCCAAGTGCTGTTATGAATATCTGAAAAGCCAATTTCACCTCTTGGTTATCAATTTTTCATCTCACATTGAGCTCCCTATGGATAAGCGAGCGACATCATTAGGCTTTTTCAAATTGATAACTTCACTGTCATCATTTTCGTCGATGGCTCGTCGAGGGCCACCGATATCATACCTTACACTGTCCATCTTCTTTGTCACTCCCTCGACTCAATTGGTACTGTTCACGGATGAGAGAGTTCGAGTACAAAGTAAAAACCAAAAATGGAAGATGGCAAGACCTGAAATCTCAACAATATGAATACAAAAGGCAAAAATAAGTTTTGCTAGCCCAAGCTACGGCCACGTGGAAAAAAAACTCTGTAAACCTGGTCTTAGAATGTACTATCCCATAACCTAAATATCCCCGAAATCCAATGCATCCGTGCCATCTAGTATCGAAAGGTCCAAATTTAGTCCACCAGACTCCTCCATTTCCCAATCAGATCCCTCGCTACTAGTCGTGACAATTCTAACGGCTTGCGTGCCTTTGACATCAATGGTTTCCCCGGCAATGCCACACTGCAGCTGCCATGACATTTCGTGCTTCCGCCTGAGATGCAAAGCGCAAAAGTCCTTAAACGTTCCATTTCTGTTCAAGGTGTGGTTGATTCGCAGATTAACGGCAACACCGATGTCTGTGGCCTGGCCATCGCCAGTGATCGGGAGCGTGATCAGGATGTCTCTGGCTTGAGACAGATTACTTGCCAAGTCCTGCTCTCCCCACCAATTTGCATATTTCAAACTCTGATATCCATTCTCAGCAGCAGCCCCTAGGTCTGAACTTAACGTGAATTTGAGATTGATAGGCTTGATGACCTGCGGAACATGTTGAATTATCTCACTCGTGATGGACCATTTCGGTACCACTCTCAAGGTGAACGGGATCGACTGGTGTTCAACCGGCAAGACTGTCGGAACTCCCACTTCCACGTTGAACCATAAAACTGGTATTGGAGAGATGCCCAGAAACGTTTTCAACTTTTGGCTTTTGGAAACTTGCACTCCATCCATGCCAGGAACCAGACGTTGCGACGCAACCGAATGTGGGCGAGTTTGCAGCTGGAGGCGCCAGTCCCAGCCTGAAGAGCCGTGTTCCCGTTCCGTGATGGAAGAAGAGCGGTTCTCCTTTTCCCCTGATACATTGTCTGTTTGCATCTTGCTTTGTCGGTGAGGTTGCTACCCCGGGCTGTTGTTGATAATCAAAAGGCTCCACAAGACGTCCTATGATAAGGCACCAGTAGAGTTGGGTTGAGTATAGGCGACGGGTACGAACTTGGGCTCCGACTGGGTTCTTTGATCGTTAGAGTTCATGTTGAAGGGGTAAAATAATATCGCGGAGTGAGTGGCTGAGGAAGGGGCTGTTCACCTGTCAGCACCAATCAGCCCTACCATTGACACATCGTGCCGTTTCACTCTGTGGCGCAGCCCATGTGAAAGATCCCTGTCGCATGATCTTTTTGCCGGAAACTGTAGCAGATATACATTTCTAAATATGGCATTTCAAATAAGCGACTGGCCGTGAGTCGCTGCAATACGGTGCACATTCCTTGTAGAGGCCGTTGCGTCTGGTATCGTAAATCTGATTCCCGCGGGATATTCGATTGCTGCTCTGTCTAGGATTGGCAACGCAGCGAGTTTATCCGCATTGGATGTTTTATCAAATATCAATTACCTACTTAGCGTATCTTTCCCTCGCTCGCTCTTGGATATCATTGTTTAAGTTTGTTTTACATTCTCGGCCCGTCCCGTTGAACGAAGTCGGAGACAACCATCCCAATCAATTAGTCCAAGACCATTCAGCAATTCATTTACCTCATCCAGCGAGTTCAACAAGTAGGATAATAAAAGGTCTAAAATTCTCATGCATATGAGTGTGCTAAGAAGGGCAAGCCCGAGTTTTCCCAACTGAGCTCATCCAGAACAAACTCTGGTGGGTACCATACATGTATAAATGCAAGACATCGTCATCTCCCCCGCATGCTTCACATCCTGAATCATTCCCCTCTTCGATGCTGAAGGGAGAATTATCAAGCGACACATTTCACCAATCTCGGCCTTTGTATCATCGCCTAAGAAGAAAATATTTCCAGAGGAGAGCCGGTAATTCGAAGCAGCCCCTCGTCAGCTCCGTGTTCAGTATAACATTCACCATGGCAGCTCAAATCAAATCTGAGCACTTTAGCGTCGACATTGACAACACTACTGGAGCTGTTGTCAGCATCTCCAATCCAAGAGCGGAAGGAGACATGAACTGGGTCAGCTCGCCTGACAACGCGCCGTGGCAACCTCTGGGAAGTCGCTGGGGCATGGGATACGTTGATTTGGGCGCCGATTCCTTGCATAGAACTTACTGGAAAAATCCATCTATTGTCTCAAGCAATGAAACAAGCGCTGTTTTAGAGTTTAATCTGGGGCCGTTGCTCATCAAGGTCTCCAGGAGTCTCAAGGACGACGGGAAGACCTTTCATGAATCATACAGCTTCCACAATGTGGGAACTGAAGACCTCGACTTGGATGGCCCACAAGGGACTTCTATTGCTATATTCACGCCGTTCAATGACCATTACACCAATACAGAGGACGCCCTTCAAAGGCGTGCACATGCCCACGTCTGGGCTAATGGCGGCAGCAATGCCTGGGTTAAGATGACCCAGATGGGTGGGCATGGTCCGAATCTGGGACTCGTGGTCACCGAAGGGTCTCTGCGTGGTTATAGTATCGAATCTCGAGACCGCATCACTATGTCGAACACCAGAGGTGTCTTTTTGCTCCATCCTATAACCGGTAAATTGGCCCCGAACGAGCAAAAGGCGATCGAGTGGTCCATGTTCTGGCACAACGACTGGGATGACTTCTTTGAGAAATGCGCCGAACTTTCGTTTCAGTTCATTCACTTCCATATCCCCTGCTACACTCTCGTCGGTGATGAAGTCGCTGCTCTGCAAATGACTGGTGCTGTCAATGAAAAGACTACTGTGAACGGTCAGAGCGTTGTTTGCGACGGAAAGGGCCGTTACTCAGCGAAAAGCGACACATTTAAGGGTTCTATCGATGTGAAAACCCCGGGCACAGAATATTCTGCAAAAGTCTATTTGAACAGAGTTGACAGCGTCGAAAAACTTGTCGCATCTCGGGTACGATTCATTATAGATAAGCAACAGATCTATGATCTCGGAAAGCCCGGTGATGGCGCTTATGCCGTATTCGATAACGAGGCTCAACTCATTTCTTCCTGGGACACCGACAATGACCGGAACCTGGGCCGGGAGCGTGTAGGGATGGGTATTTTTATGGCCAGATGGCTGAGAGAGCATCCTGACGACGACAAAGTACGCAACTCTCTTAAAAGATACTACAAGTTTGTGTGCGAAGAGTTGCAAGACCAGACTGGATACGTCTTGAATGGTCCCGGAAGCCGGGAAAAGCGGCTGTATAATTGGCCATGGGTAATGCAACTACATATCGCAGTAGCATCAACGGACCTCGACACCACTGGCGTAAATGGAGGTGAATCTCCTTTGGAAAGGTTCGAGAAGACTATGGAGAGTTTCTATGATGAAGGCGGTAGAGATCTCTATCCCATTGGCCTTCCATTGCTTGAGTGTCTAAGATATCTCCAAAATTTCGGGACAACAAAGCTTCTTGAACGTGCCAAGAAATTGTTCTTGAATCATGGTCAAAGGATACTGGACAGGGGAGTTGACTACCCCCCTTTTGAAGTCAATTTTGAGCAGTCTATCGTTGCACCCGCAGCCATCATGCTGCTCGAGCTCTACCGGTTCACCAAAGAACCGAAGTGGTTGGGTGGGGCAGAGCTCCAGATGAAGACGCTACTACGTTTCCAAGGAAAACAGCCCGACTACCGTCTGCATGACATTGCAATCCGTCACTGGGATGGGTACTGGTTTGGAAAGGATCGAATGTGGGGGGACACTTTTCCTCATTATTGGAGCACGCTAAATGCTGTTGCATTGCACCATTACAGCTATGCCAAAGCTGATGAGGCATCTAAGAAGAGGGCTGACGGGATCATCCTGGGGAACCTGGCATTGTTTTCTCCGGATGGAAGTGCGAGCTGCGCATGGATTTATCCCTTGTCTGTCAATGGGCGGGCTGGCCACTATAAAGATCCATATGCTAATGATCAAGACTGGGCCCTCAATCACCTACTTTATCTCAAGCAAGACGACGAATACGGTCAAAAGGGCCATGAAAGGACCTATATGGATAGGATTTAGACGGATTCAAGTTTCATTAAGGCGATACGCTGAATGTAAGGCAACTAGTCAATGCGCTGCACAGTCTAGCTATTGTTACATACTTGAACAGTCTAATCATGCTACAATTCCCATTTTCTCTCTCCGACCTTTCCCTCCAGGGGACAACAAATGAACTAATCAAGATTGAGCCAAGCACAAAATCGGCTTGATTCCACCGAAACTCAGCATAGGTTCAGATCAGGGGTAGCCGTGCTAGAAGGAGCATCAGTGCCAGAAGGGATCACAGTGCCAGACGGGACCCCGGTGCCTGAGGGAGGACCTCCAGAGGGAGCGGTGCCGTTACCACCAGGGCCGTCGCCACCACCACCACCACCGCCGCCAGAGTTGGAGTTGGTAACACCACCTTCCTTGTAGCGGAATGTGGCAGGGGAGACTTCCTTTGAGAGTGTG